CCCCAAAACCCCAAAACCCCAAAACCCCATTGACAAGTTATTCTTTATTATCTAAGGTTTAATAAAATAAATAATCAAAATTACGAACTTTTGGAAGACCCATTTAGAGTTATGAAGGATTTGATTCTTTTATCCAGAGGACCTGATATATTTGATAGACTTTCCAATTCATCAGTCTCCTTTAATTGCTACTTCTTTAGTTCTCTTTCTCCGTATGTTTGAATAAAATCTTCAAGGGAAATATATCCACCTCCAAGCTTAACCATCAAACTGTTTTTAATTACTTTTATTGAAATCTTTTTACTACCAAACTAGTAGAGAGCATTGTCAATTCTTTGTATCTTAACTGGAATGGGCTCCTGCTCTTAAGCTTTATTTATGTATTCAGCAACTTATTAATCTATTTCATCGCCTGGAATAGCTACATATAATGGCAATCTGAAAGTTTCTTTTTAATTTTTATTGTGATTTAAACTTTTCTGTTTTGATAGTTTAAAATTCTGAATGCTTTCAGAAAGTTGCAAATATTTCTAGTTTAAATCCTATAACTTCACCTTTATGTCTTGTTATCTTTAAAATAGTTTATTTTATTCTGAGTTTTTTATACTAAGAGGATCCTTAGGAATATGAGGGAAAATCTTTTCCTACAGTATGCTTTCCTACTAAGTTAGTACTTTACTAAACTTCTCTTGCAAATCACAAAATTCATTTATCTTTTAATCTATTTTAAGCTCTCCTTGTTCCATCATATTTTCATTGTTGTTCCTTAATTTCTAGATTTACCTTTTCACTTTGTCTCTTAAAAAAGAGCTTTGTTAGATCTATCTAGAGCGTTTTTTATACTTGCTCTATAAATCATAAAACGAGAAAGTCTTAGCTTTTTTCTTTAATTTCTCATTAATTTTATTTACAGCATTATCATTAAGTGTGATTAGTTTTTCGATACTCATTAGCTTTTCTATTAGCAATAATTTCTCAGAATCCTCACCTCTTGCACTAAAATCTTAAACTTCGTTTATCAAATTTTCAATTTCAAGTTCCGATTTAGTGCACTATTCATCAACTGACTTAATCAACTCTTTCATACTTAGAATAGAATTTTTATTAGTTAGGATTTGCTAAGACTCTTCTTCATCTGAGGCATATTCCTTTAAATCCTCTAACAAGCCTAGCATCGTTCTTACTTCTGACTTTACCTCATTGATTGACTCTCTTTACTAAAGTGATTGCTAAGAATGAGACTAAAGCTTTTCATCAAGATTAGATTCCCCAAATATCAATTTTTTATGTTCAATGTCTAACTCAACTTCCTCATTTAAATCTCTCTGCTCGTTAATCACAAAACTTAACTCACTTAGACATTGAATATAAGGTAAGAGTATTTTAATATCTAGCTATCTCAAACTCTCTTCACTGTGTTTTTACAATGTTCTCTCAAAATCGTTTAGTCTATTCAAAATTTCTTGAAGGACCACATAAAGATCAAGTATTTTATCAGACACTAATTCTAAATCTATCTTAATGTCTTTATAAATTTTAACCTAATCTTCAAAAGCAGAGATCAATCTCAAGTCAATAGCCTGTACTAATCCTTATACTGCATCTTCATTTTACCTAACCTAATCAAATAACTCTGTAAATTTTTATCTTGTTTAAGTGTAATTCTATTTGAGGTCTAGATCTTCATATGACTCCCTTATAATAATTAAATTATTATGGAGTGTGATTACGTCATTCATTAGACCTCTTGAGATTTCTATAAATTTTTGGGCTTCTATTTCAATAACTTCTAACTATTGCCTAGTCAACCTCTTACTTTGATCTCCATTGATTTGAGTGAATACACTCACTAACTCTTGAATTTTCTCAAGTGACATTACAAATCTCTCCTGAAGATCATTATAAATGTTCTCATAACTCTTCATCTTTTAATCTCTTCTGATCAAAATTTCAGAAATGTGAGTATAATCTTCCTTAACTTATTCGTCTTCTAAGAGCACTTTCAGAAGCTCTTTATGATCAATTATTAAATCCTTGATTCCATCTAGTATTTATTTATTGTTTCCAGACTCCAATTAAATTTTTTAAAACATTTGCAAAAGATCATCTTATAATTATTAGCTCATATCATTGTCTATTAAGAACTTTCTCCATTATTTTTTTAGTTCAAATAGCTCTGATTCATTATCATCAAGTTTATTCCTATAATTAAACAAGCTTTTGGTAAAGTCAAGAACAACATGGTCACCTAGTTATTCATTCTCATTTATATCACATTTATCAATAAGCATTCCTAGTTCAATAACTTTTCTTTCATTAGATTACTCTAAATCCTTTACAATTTAGCTCAGACGATTGGCTTATTATTTCAATCCATCCTTAACTTGTTAAACTATTAATATTTTACCAGGTATTGATCTTAACTATCAGTGTCTGCTAGATTTAAGAGGAAATCATGTATTTTCTGGGAAAGCTCATCAATCTTTTACTTATTCACCCTAAAGTCTTTTGCATGCCCTCTCAAAATATCTATAAAATTGCATTAAAATATGATCAAGATAAGTCAATATAAAATACCAGCATCATTAGCTTGAGTAGATTCTCTATAGGCTGATTAAAGGTAGAGATTGTTTGAGGACTTTTTAGGTTAGCAAGCGCAGAAGTTACCCATAAATTAAAATTAAACAACTAAATTATGACGCTTATTAAATATTAATACCTACGTAGTTTAAAATTTTATTGTTTAATGCCGACGTAATCACTTTAATGGTTGCATAATCTTATGGGGTTTTGGGGTTTTGGGGTTTTGGGG